TTCGATTTTGCTAAAAGTCGAAAACTCTTCTGGTGACTTTTGATTTTAACCTAAAAACGTTAACCTAATGGAAGAACTGATTTACTCAAACATTTAACAAGAGAACAAAAGCTGCTGAGTTCAGAACTGAAATACAACTCTATTTTCTTGCAAGAAAAATAGTTTCTTAGGATTTCAGTGAGAAAATTTTTAAACAGAATAAGCTGATTAATGTTTGAAATAAATAAAAGAAAACCACCATCTTCTTTTAGGTTCATCAGATCCAATTAGGTCATTTGAAAGGCAAAAATACTCTCTTCATCGGTAGATCATCTTACTGACCGTCTCAAATTAAAAACGCACTTATTTTAATTTTTTTTTTAACTTATTTTTTGGTGAAATGTGCAAACTGAAATCAGAGACCCAATAGGGTGGCCAGATGTCCGACTTTAGGGCGGACAGTCCGGATTTTAATTGCACTGTCCGGCGTCCGGCGCTGCATCCAGCCGGATGTGTATTTGTCCTCCTTTATGAGGCATTAGGCTTGTAGAGCAGATTGTTATTTATTTTTTATTTTTTTTGCTGGGCTGCAGCACAATATTCAATCATCAAAAATGCATCACTACCTAATCTAACAAATGATTGGCTAAGAGTGGCGGTGTGTCAGATAAAGATCTGCTTGTCATTGGTTACAAAAGTAAACAAGGATCAGAATCACTGATGCTAAGTATTAAAGTTAGCGTCATGTCAAAATCAGGACGTCGTTTAACCCAGAATGGACAAAAGAGCGTGAATTTATGACCAAAGGTAGTGGAGATTCATTGCATGGTTTCTGCCACTTTGTCAATGCGATGTGAGCGTAAGCTGTGGAGGAAAAGCTGCAATTGAACGGCGTGCGAATACGGATTAACATAAAAGTAATAAACGAGCAGCAGCGAACTCTTCAATGTTGGCTTTTACATTAAATTTTGTCGCCCCTGGAGGCTAAAATAACTTGTGCAGAGCTGCAAGGTGGACTATACTATAAAACATCTCTAGTCCTACGGAAGTGTAGACTGTGAGGTGAAAGGGGATTTTAGTGATTCGCCCATATAGGGATGACCATGAAGACAGGTCTGCTGCACAGAGACACTTAAGTTCCCAAAAGACTGAGGCTCTTAAAAATAAAGCTATATTTTTAGAGCAGTTGAATGTGTCTCTTTTGTTGTTTAAAAAAATAATAGGCTATTTTATTATGAATGTTTCTTGTTAAAAAGATTTTTTTAACGTTTAAGTCCACACATTTTATGCTTTGTTCTATTCTGCACTTTAAAGATTCATCTCGGTGTCACTTTTTAAACACCACAATGTATTAAATAAATACAAATGCTGGGAACCAATTCTTTTTTTTTACATTTCTTTAATATTTTGTTCTATTCAGCTACTAAGAATTGTACTATAAATGTGACTTTACCAGATTCTTAT